GAATAAATCCTAAAGTTTTCTTGCCTCTGCTAGCCGGTGGCCAAATACTTTGGCAGGTTAGAAAAACCTCCACTTGCCATGATCTTTAATAGCTGAGAGAGGGAGCGAGAGAGAGATAAAAATGACTGCAGTAGGGGAAAAAAAATGCTATTCTCAAGTGAATAGCACCAAGCTTTATTTGCAAGCTCTTGACATATCATGTGTTCCATACGCAGCCACATAGGAGCAACCACAGTTATTTAGGAAATTAGCTGGCCAAAAGAATCGAGGGAAAGGAAGACCCAGCTTTTTGTCCATGCACATGCTGGTAACACCAAATCAATCCTGCTGACGATTTACTTGAAGTTAAAACACCACCAGCATAAAGCTGCTTGGGCAGGTCCCCCTGCCAGCATCCCTGATGCTGCCTGACAGCTGCTGGCAGCACAAGGTCTTCCCAGGTGAGAGAGCAGACCTTGATGTTGTCAATCCAATGTGCTCTGTATTTTCAGGCTCTTCACTCCTGGTCTTTCCAACATCAGACCTTGTCTGTATTCAGGTGTATGGCCATCTCACATTGCCCATCATAAGCTCAACCCATGGAGAAGCGCCATCCCACTTGTTCTAAACGGACTGCATGCAATAATGCAACAAAAATCTTGAATCCCAATGATTAGCAAAATCTCTCTCTTGCATACGTCCCACCACTGGTCTCAGAGAGAGATCAGAGCCAGAGCAAATATCAACAAACCAAAGTAGTTGCACGATACTTTGCAATTGCTCATTGACATGAGCAAGAAACTTTCAATTGGGTCAATCTCTTACAGTCTTCGCCGCAGGTCGCTTAAGCCCAGGCTCACTTCTCTCTCTTTCTGGCACTCGTTCCACGTCAAGTTTACATTTCTGAGCCCACCCTTGGCTTGGATCTGCCAAAAACTATTAACCATCCAGCCTCCTATACTGAGCCATGCTGTTTGTGATCCTTTCTGTGTTGTCCACCTGAATGCCTAACAATAAGAGACCTCATGAGCTAGGCTTGGATAATACAAGAAGTGAGGCACAAGGCCATTACAAGGCTGCTGCTTCTACCTTTATGCTCATTGAGTGCCCCTGGCCCACAGGAGTAGTCCTGTTAATTTAAACTGTATTCTTTTGGGTATAAAAATCATCGCTTAAACAACTTGCCTAAAGCTGAAGAAGACCTGTGCCAGAGTAAGTGACCCCAGGTCTCCTGAGTACCATTCAGATACCTGAACCACAGGTTACGGCTCCTCTCAAAGCAGGGTAAGCAGGAGGCCGGGTAGAAAGTGTCTATTGTACCATTTCTTGAGATTATAAACTCTTCAGAGCAGGCATCAGGGTGAAATCAGGTTTCCATCTGAAGTCAACAGCAACACTTTTACCAGCTTCTACATGCCAGGATTTTACTTCATGTGTGTTATTAAATCAAACAGCTCCAAGTATACAACTGCATCGTGTTGACTAAAAGCCATTACAGTAATAACCATGGACTATCACGACTGATGCCAAACCAAAGATGGGGCTACTTACAACCTGGCACAGCCCTGGGAGAAGCAGCGTCTGTCTTCCACTGGATCACCATGATTCAGAAGCATCTGACTCCTTCTCCACCTTCCCACCCATTTAAAGACTGCCGGCCAGATCTGGTTTACACTGCATCAGGGGTGAAAAGCATCCGGGAAACCAACTTAATGGGGTACCTGGGATTTCCTTAGCATGGCTTCCACAGATTTCGGCTGCTTCCCTTCCCCTTGGCACATGGTGTTTGTCAGGCATGTGAGGGTGCCAGTGTAAAGCATGCTGTATACTCAGTCTCCAGCTGGAGAATGAGCCAGTGCAAATGAATACAATTGACAGCAACTTCCCTTCCCTCTTCAGGCTCCCTTTTCTCAACTGCACGGAGCAGAGCTCTGACCTTGCTGAAGATCTGGGCCCACAAAACTCAATGGTTGCTAGATACTCTGCAGAGTTTCCAAGATACACAATAAGTTATCATAAATTTGCATTTCATGGGGCTAGGAGATCAGAGGGTTAAGCCACAGGACACTGTACTATTAAACTAAATGGAAAGCACATAGTTGTGCTCCGAGTGTTCACATTTCTAATCTTTGCTGCCAACTGAGGAGGAAAACTAAGTCCTATATCTAGCGCCTCCTGTCCTCTCTGTAGCTCTACTGCTGTTCTCCGCTCCATGGCCTCATGCAGAACAAAATATGCATGTAAAACCTGGACCCTGGGAAGCAGAATTACACTATTCCTGCGGTGCATGTCCTGATACCACCTTGGCTCACCTGAATGCCCTATGGTACATAGCTTTACTGGAGCCCTGCTCTCCCTACAAATGTAGCAGCCCTTAGTTTCTGGGAAATCCTATGCATGTATTTGCGTATATGGGTGTATATATGTGTGTGGGTGTACAAGCAAGCATTTTCCAACTTTCTACTCAGGTGTGGATGTGCTGCTTCTATACTGTAGCTCTGTCCACATACTTTTCTTTCAACGCACTATATGTCCCTAGCCTGAAGGATACCCCTGTTCTTGCAGACCCTACCACCATCAATACAGCTCTCCCAGGGTGCCACATTCCCAACCCTCAGCAAGCCTTCCCGTTCCACTGCGCACACAGCTCTGTGCAGGTGCTCCATCTCTTACTCCTGGTTTGTTTCTGGCACTCGGCTGCACGTCCAAGGCCTGTCCTTATACTACATTCCCAACCCTGCTCCCGCCCTTCTATTCCAGGCTGCGTTCTACTTTTCATAGCACAATCTGCACAGTTTGCAAGGCTTTTGTGTATTACTTTATAGGTTTGGACTCACTAAAGAATCCAGGTATTTCTAGAGTTGGTTCAGATGCTTGTAAAACCCTTTCAGCTATGTGAAATGCCCCGAGGTGCTACCCACTGAACCCAGCATTAGTCCCCCCCAATTTGAAAAATTCATAGTTCAGACCAACAGGGTTTATTCACATGGGAGTAAAATCAGGGCTAGGCGCAAGTCCCTTCTCCAAGCCAGTACCTCCCACCAGTTCTTGCAGAGAGCAGTGGGCATTTGCTTATAGATGATGCTTTTGCACGCGCACAGAGACGAGCTCCCAGGGCGTCCAAGTACCTTGCAGTCGGGGCAGCACTGATCAAATCTTGAAATCCCAAGGGCCAACTCTGGTCCTGCCCACATCAGCTCAGTTCAAACCCCTGTCAGTGTGGATGGGGGACCGGCGTTTACTGTATCTGCCTAGTTCAGCTGGTCCCTCCAGGGAACCCCTACAGTTCTCCCAACCCAGCCTTGATGCCCATCGTGAGTGGCAACACTGAAGTCACAAGGGTACATTCAGAGCTGATGCGAGTGAGACAAGAGCCATGCAGAGGGGATTCATGCCTGTGCTGCAGTCAGTTTATCCCTACTGGTGGCTACTGGCTGCGAATCTGTCAGAAGGTTCCCGCAGGAAACAAATCCGCCAAGTCCCTGACAGATGCAGAGCAGCTGTTGCCAACTCTTCTGCAATAGCTCACAGTGCAGCGAGCACACCATGTTGAGCAGGGTTAGGGCTGGCATATGCCTTTGACCTAGCTTACAGAACAGCCCATAGGGGTCATTGCAGGCAGCAAAATTCAGAACGGGTCCTAAAGCCATGCAAATATCTGCTAAGATCAGAACTGACCCCTGGTAGCCCGGGTGGGGATGGAAGAGGCATATGCTCTCCTGGTTCCTGTAGCAGCCGGAGGACCAGCAGAGGGTTGAATTGCCTCCTCTGGTGCCTTTCAGCCCTGATCTCCAGAGCTAGAGTCCTAGGGTGTTAATCCACCCTGCCAGCAAACCCTTTGCAATGCTCCCTCGAAGAGTCTCCAGTGCACCATAGGGGTCTCACCACAGCAAAACAGTTGGCTAATTAACTCCTGTACATTCCCATAACTGCACAGCTTGCTGGCTTCATTCACCAGATCACTTTGGATGTGATTAATTTTTTTCTTACAGAAGGTGAAGCCACTAAACCTGTTCACATCGAATACCAGTGCCTGCTGCCCCCACCCCGCACAATCACTCGATAAAGCAGTGGCATGGCAATCTCTCCACTTCACTGACTAGCGGGAACTGCATTCTTTAGAGGTGAAAGTACAGTCTAATTTCTAAACCCCACCAGATCACTTTGGATGTGATTAATTTTTTTCTTACAGAAGGTGAAGCCACTAAACCTGTTCACATCGAATACCAGTGCCTGCTGCCCCCACCCCGCACAATCACTCGATAAAGCAGTGGCATGGCAATCTCTCCACTTCACTGACTAGCGGGAACTGCATTCTTTAGAGGTGAAAGTACAGTTTAATTTCTAAAACCACCCAGCCGTAGACCCAGGCTCTGAATTAGGCTGATAATGAAATATCCATGCTGCATATTTGATGATGTGGAGTGCTGCCAATCAGCCTGTCTCATTTATAACGCCTGCATGTGGTGTCAGCTTTTGCCTCCATTTAATCTAATTGTTCCTGAACAGCAGAGTGACCATTTTGTAAAGTTTACAAAGGGGAAGATCCCGATTCTCTGCAAACACAGTGCTCTTCTGTTCCGATTAACATTAGGAACCCTCCAGCCGAATGAGCCCATTTATTCCTCCAAGCAAACGAGAGAAGAGAGTAAAAAGGACTCTGAGCTGATAGCCTGCAAATATATATTTTTTTCCTGTTTGCTGGATCTTTCCTGCTTACAATGGCATTTAAAAGAAAAAGCATTTTTCAAAACTTGTTTCTCAATTTATGGCACGGCATCCAGCCATGAACAGCAACATGAAATAAGTCCTCGTTATCTCTCCCCCCAAAAGAGACAAGCTGTACAGGAGAAATAGATAATTTCTATTTGTTTTTTTTATATGCTTCATAAAATGCATTGTGCAGGCATGTAAAATATATGTGGCCACATATAAATATGTTTAAAGACATAATTTTAAAAATGGCCTGTTGGTATTTCTTTGAAAAGATGATGCACCGCACAGTCTCTTCAGCAGCGGGTCTTAGCCAAAGAGCAGGATGTGCCTTCCAAAAGCGGATAGATTTTTATTATACGTAGTTTGAAGATGGGGAAACTGAGGCACAATGCAGCACAGTGAATTGCCCGGCATCCAGAATTCATAGTCCTGCTACTTAACACCTGGTTCAAAGGAGATGGTGTCGGAGAGAAAACATGTCCCTGCAGCAGCAGGTGGAGTGGGGACATATGGATACAGGTTCTTTCTTTGGCTCTGCTGAAGATCTGCTTTAGTGCTCTGTGCTTCTGTGTTCCCATCTGTAAAACAGGGATGATGACCCTTTCCCACCTCAAGACAGGGCCTTGATATGTTTAGGGGTACAGTGCTATATATATATATAGGAATATATATATAGCACTGCTATATACATATGGTACTACAGATGAGTAATCATGAGTTTAAATGGAAGCCATGGTCATTCACCATGCCGTCACCTCTGGATTACAAGTCAGCCCAGAACTGCACTATTGTTGGTGAGGAAATCTACCCAGGGATATCATAAAAAATGCCCATTCATGAGAAAGAGCTCAGTCATGGATGCTGCCCAGAACAGACGGCACCTTGGTTCTATCTTGAATATGATCTAGTGTAGCGGGAGCCAACTTTTTGGCCGGTGTGCCACAAATTAGCCCTGTACCCTACCCAGGTGCCATTTGAATGCTCTTCCCCTGCAGGATCTGCCGTTCTTCTTTCTGCCTCCTGCTATATCTGCTGCTCCTCCCCGAGCTGTCGCACGCCAAACGCCGAGGCTGCTCATGCCATTTTGGGCCACCCCTGCTCTAGTGGGACTGGGGACTCGCGGGCCCTTTTTGTGACTTGGTAGGCAGTTGTGCAAGATGCACAGGGTTGAGGAGAAAATGTGGATGCTGAATTGGTTACCCAAGGCCACCGTGCAAAAATCAGTGACAAAGAGTTAACTGACATGCCTAAAGTATGCAATGGCATCGTTCCTTAGGGCCCTGGGTATCTATATCTTATATGTGTAACTCTGTTCCTATTTTTTTTAAAAAGGACTCTTGCCTTCTATGCTTCAGTTTCACAGTTTGTTGAATGGGAATAACAGAGTAGTGTTCACCCACTTTCATTAAGTGCTTTGTGATCATAACTGCCAGAAAGCACTTTTCGGTGATACTGGAATACCATGGCGATGGGCACAGTATAAGAACCTGAAGAGCGTAGAGAAAAGAAGCTATATAAATACCCACTACTGCTGCATTATTATTCACTTGCAAAGAGCTGATGCTGCTGGAATCTGAATGTTTGCTTCCAGGGAGTCTACGTATTCTGAAACTAATGCACTTCCCAGGCACATATTTTCAAAAGCACGGAGAAAAGTGGAGTCCCTGATGCATATTTACTTCCAGTGAGAAGTGGACGCTTAACTGCCTTTTGTGCCACTGCCGTCTCCTCCCAGCTCCCAGTTTCTAAGCCATGCCCTACGGAGAAGGAAGAAAGCATGCTAGAAATGATATGCTGGGAACACAGACCTCTCTGAAAATAAAATGGGTTTCGGTGTTTTCCATAGAGCGCCATTGGTTCTGCTAGGGGTTAATCCACAAAGAACAGAGAGCATCTCTCCCGAGGGCTGTTGCTTGGGATACTCTAAGCTCTGGCTGTCAATCAGGTTCCAGGTGTTTACTTTTAAACCAGTTGATCTTTTACAAGTCCTCCAGGTCAGTGGGATTTTCCTTGTCTCTCTCTCTGCCCGAAAACCAATGATCCATAGCGTGAGCACAGAAAGAGCTCTCGACTTTGCATGCAGCCCTGGCCGTGCTTGCTCTTCCTCCCCTTCCTGCTTAGTAAAACGTGAAGGCCAGGGCTCATTCATTTCCACAAACTCCAGGTGCCGCACCAACATAGACGGCTTGGCAAATGAGCCGCTGAAAGCTGTTTTATCTATTGATCTATGGATGGTGCTACTTAACCTGGAACAGCCAAACAGTCGCTTCATCACCTAATGGAGCATCAAAAGACTGCTTATTTGTTTGGGGCTTTGGTTTTTTTTAATCTTTCTTTTTGGTCGCTGTTTTGTTGGTTTTTGAGTGAATTTAGTTCTGGTGAGAGCCAAGGAAACAGAAGACTCTTTGTAGCCACAGGGCAGGTGAGGCTGGCTTCCTGGCACTGCTACCCTACCTATTGGGTGCCTTCGGTCACTCCCGAGAGGGAAGATGGAAGGTCTTTTTGCCAGGATGCACTGTGCTAGGGTTCAAGTCAATTAAGGACATATTTTGAAAGGTATCTGGGTTTGTAATGGGATTTTTCAAAGTGTCTAACTATCACAGTTTACAATGGGAGTTAGGAACCTACAGGTTTTTGCAAACCTATCTGAATCTTCAGGCACTTACACAGCCTGAAAAAGCATGTCTGTGTTTCGGTTCTCCATCTGCACAATGGAAATAATCATCCTGGGAGCTGAACATGTCCAAGTTGGGAAGAAGCTCAAATGTTACAGCAGTGAGGGCCATTTCCAAACCATAAATAGATCTCACCTCCAGAACTGCACTCAATATGGCCCGGTGACTGATCCCTCACAGTTTGTGCCAACAGTGTATTACGGCAGGCAGGGCAGAAATGCATCCAACACCACTAAACAATGAACGGATCCCATTAACATCAGTGAAAGTTAGGCATCTTGGTGCTTATGAACTGAAAATCCCACTTGGCTCCTATTTGCATCTCTTGCCACCTAAACGCTTTTACAAATCTGGCCCCTCGGTCGCTGAAATGCTTCTGGAAACCTTTATCACTAGCAGTGTTAGGAGGCAAAGTGCTCAAACCCCGAGTCAGATTCATATTCCAAACACACGGCTCGCAGCTTTCAGCAAGAAAGGGGTTCAGCCCAGGGCTATCAGCTTGGGCCTGCTGCAATACCAATTATTTATTTGTATGAATTGGGGGTGGAGGGGGGACTTGGGGTTGTTTTACATTGCACAACATGAATAGCAAAGCAGAAGAAGTATTTTTGGAGCCCAAGTTGAATGGAGAAAATATTGCACTATGCGAAACAGATAAGCAGAAGAGCTGTTTATTCCCTCGGTGGCATGAGGCCTGCCTTTGAAGCAGATAAATCTTTGCTGGTAATACAGTACTTAAACCAGAACTGACACCTTTTTATATCAACTGCAGAGAATTGCCTTTGTGAGACTCTGATATAAAGGCTGCCTCAGCTGTATCTTGCATACCAATTTGTCTCCAACCTGTTGGTTCACCCATCTGTCCTGCCCTGTTGTTCAGATGGGGAACTGAGGAAGTGGGGCAGGCCTGGCTCTCAGCTTTTGTACCACCTCTGCCCATTTCACAGGTGTCTGTTGCCTGGAGAGAATCGCTTAAAAATATTGCACCAGTCTCTACACAGCAGAGGAAGGATGGCCTCATGGTTATGGCAAAAGTTTGGTAATGTGGGAAATGGATTCCAGGACTCAAAGTCTTATCTGGGTGTCTTGGGCTGGCTAGTGGGATCCCCCTTTGAACTTGGGATGTGCCTCCAATGGGACAGCTACATTCATATCCCATTTTGCCCGGTCCTTCCTTGTCCGGGAAGTCTCGCCAGCTCTCAAATCTTCTTCAGTCCATATTGCTGAGCAGGAGCCTAATCCTTTGTTGCCTGGCATTTTGTGCAGGCTCATGCAATGAAAGAGCAAAGCAGGTGTGAACTTTTACCTAGTCCTAAGGGTTGCACTGTTTGCTCGCTCAGCTCCAGTGTAAATCACTGCCCTCCACACCTTGCAATAGTGAATCAAGCTCTATGGCTTTGCCACAATCTGACCAGAGGCCAGAAGCAAAACTTTCTTGAGACCTGGTGCATGGTAGGATGTGGGGAGTAAATTAGCAATATGCCAGTGCTTGCACAGCACACCCAAGATAAGCCTGCCAAAAGCTTCACAACACAACTCCCTGTGACCTGCATTACACAATCCCCACCTCATGCAAACCTCTGCTCTTCTATTAGCGCTATTCATTATCTGTGTGCAGGGGCAATGGAGAAAAAAAGTCCTGGAGTCAGGACTCATGGTTCATCTGGGGGGATAGATCCTCACCTGGCACAGCTCACCATCGCTCTTTTAGCATGGATGGAGTTGTTTCAATTTGCATCGCTTAGGACCTTCACCTTCATACCCAGACTGTCAAGCTGTCCCTCTGGGCTGGTGATTGAAAGGTACAGAGGCTGAGCTGTTGGACTGGGAGGCGGGTGGCGGAGGACAAAGGTGTCTTATAAAGGAATGAAGAATTAATGGGGAATTGGAAGGCTTGGCCAGGTTCTCCGGAAGATGCGGTGGGTTTGGAGTGAAGCCATCCTGATGTGGAGCTGATATATGATGCGAGTGATTTTCCATCAGAAAACAACAATTGAAATGGCTGCCACCTCTAGATCACCGTGTGAGAATCCGCTGGCGGATCTAAGGTGGTTCTCTGGGCCTAATTCTCATCTCCCTGACACTGCTTCTACACCAGCACATTTTCAGGGAGACCACTAGACCTACTCTTGATTTAGGCCTGCAGAAGTGCGAGCAGAATCATGTCCTGCTCCAGTTTTCACAGCTCCCCTGCCAATCTGCAGCCTTTTTTCTTATGCATTTGCTACCACACAATAGAATTAACATAAAACATCGTACAGCGGCGACGCATTTAATTTGGATGATTATCCTAACTATTATACAACAAGTTTTAAGTACTACAAGCTCCTGAGAGAGAGAGAAAAAAAGCCTCCAAAATCATATAATGGCAGAGGAATCCTAGTAACAAACTACAATCCACAGCATAATAAATAGTGTAGTTAGAAGTGCTTAATGCCACTAAATACCTTATTGCATTCTGATCAGGGACACAGTTTATTTCAAGCAGAAGAGATAGATGATTTGAAACTTTGCAAGACTATTAACTGCTGCATGATTATTACAGACCAGTTGGGTTTCCTTTTTTGGGAGCATTGTAGATATATATGTATTTAGCATAACCATCAGCATCAGGGGGGAAAAAAAATGTACTGGGATATTTTTTTTTCCAGGCACAAGACAAATAGGACCAAATAAGCTGAACCAGATGTCAAACAAATGTACAAGCTGTAATGATGTAAGTGATGCCACAAGGTGTTTTTCTCTTATGGAGGGCAGAAAGTGTTCTCTTCCAGCCATCATCTTACAACAGGTGGTCCTAATGCACTGTATGATGACAACAGCCAGACATCAGTCTTGCCAACCTACTGCTGCTAATGCTGGCTGCAAACAGAGTGGGATTTGCAATTTGAGGTATAAAGGAA